TAAATTGCATAGCAGTTACAGCTGGCAAGACCTCTGATCAGACTCACAGGGCTTCTCTATGTGGAAATCAAAATACGTGGATTTTAATTATTTAGAATTTCCACCCCAGTTCCCATAGAAAGGATTAGTCAGTATCTTGTAATGTTCAGTACGGTACTACTGGTGAATGAAGGTAGATAGAAAGCGGCGCCTGCCTCGCTTGCATATTCAACATTGTTTCTGTTGGAAAAAACTTCCAAGTTTCAGTGCAGGACTCCAGGAGTACACATCTCTTGAGAGATCTTTTTATCCAGGGGCAGCTTGGATAAGACCCAAGACCCCTGTAGAAGATTTGAGAGTCGAGCCGCCTTCGCTAGAGGGGGAGGCAGAGGCGGGAAGAGCATGGATGTGGATCGGACCGGATGTTGAACTCGAGCTCAGCCTGTTACCTGCTGTGTGACCATCACCACATCATCTCCTATTTTCTCTCTCTTCCCTCATATGTAAAACAAGACATCAGACGTAGAGATTTAGAGATCTGAGAATGAGCGGCAGTATGTGAAAGGAAATTGAAGGTAGTCGGAATGTCAGCTATTACTACATGTAGAGAGAAGGGGTTTTTCATTCCCTTTCGTTCTCTCTGTTCTTAGTATGGAAATAATGAGCTACTGCGGTGATGGGGAGATGTGGGAAGGGAGGGTTGCTCTGGAAATAGATTACGATGTGTATGGTATGGGTTTAGTTGGGAATCACCCCCATTAATATCCCTTGCGGTCGTCCTGCTTTCCCTTCCACTTGCATGTACAACCAACAACATGACTACGGTGAAACTGTTGACTCCTGTGCCACCCTTTCACCTGCCTGAGCTGTCTGTCAGTGGGAACAAATGGGAGTGCAGTTTCATTGCACTGGTTCTGCTGTTTGGACAAGTGCCTGACATCTGCTTCCCTGGGTTTCAGCTTTTACTGGTGTTGGTGCTTTTGTCTGTCATACCAGAGTACTTCAGAACTTTAATTGCTTCTGCTCTGCAGGTGAATATGGCTACAAAAGGGCCCCCTCATTTCCCAGGGGTGCCCTTCATGGGCTCCCCTGTGGGAGGCCCTCTCCCACCGCCCATTCGCTATGGACTGCCGCCTCAACTCTCCGGGCCTCCACCGCCCAAGCAGTACGGACTGCCGCCTCAACTGTCCGGGCCTCCACCGCGCAGTCAGTATGGACTGCCGCCTCAACTCTCCGGGCCTCCACTGCCCAGTCAGTATGGACCGCCGCCTCAACTGTCCGGGCCTCCACCGCCCAGTCAGTATGGACCGCCACCTCAACTGTCTGGGCCTCCACTGCCCAATCAGTATGGACCGCCGCCTCAACTCTCCGGGCCTCCACCGCCCAATCAGTATGGACTGCCGCCTCAACTCTCCGGGCCTCCACCGCCCAATCAGTATGGACCGCCGCCTCAACTGTCCGGGCCTCCACCGCCCAGTCAGTATGGACTGCCGCCTCAACTCTCCGGGCCTCCACCGCCCATTCAGTATGGACCGCCTCCCCAGCTCTGCGGGCCCTTTGGACCTCGGCCACTTGGTCCACAATTCGGTATGAGTATAGAACAGCGGTAACTGACTTGTAAAGTGTACTCATCTTCTCTGTTTCTTGGTCAGATGTTAACAGTGGCTGTTACAGGGCTGTGTGGTGAAAGGGTCAAGCTGTCTGGGTACACTTTGACTTTTCCTCAAGTTTCTTGGGGCACATGGGATGCCACATAACATCCCTATACCGAGATGGACAGTAGGTATCTCCGTAGACAAGGAGAAAGGGACTATTACAGAAAGCCAGAAACACTGCTGCAGATGTTTAGTGAGCATCTGTGGCTACGTACCAGGCCCTGGGGTGGATAGAACTCAGTCCCTCTTCTGACTCCAGGAGCTTACATTGTCCTGTGGGACACAGCTGCATACACACTACAACATAAAGCTTATAATCATATAATGGAAGCATAAGCAGTGGGTCGGAGAGTGTAAAAGAGGCAGGGATTAAGCCGTCACTCTCCAAGCTGGGACTAACTGGGAAGGACGTGTTAAAGAGAAGGTGGAATTTCATAGCTGCCTAGTGAATGTTGCTGAATTTAATTAGGTGTAATTAGGGTAAGCACCTTGATTTCGATGGCATATTTTAGCTCCATGCTGAGCTGCTGCATGAGTTTTTACTTGATACAGTAGTAGATAATGGAATTGCCTTTATCAAAATTTCTTTGTTGTAGTGATTATGAAGTGTTACTTCATAATTTGTCATCTTGGTGTGACATATGGTACTTCCAAGTACAAACCAAGCTCTTGAGAGATAAAGGTGGCGAATCTGTGTAGTAGAAAAAACACAAGCTTGGTAGAGCCGTGTTTAAATCCTGCCTGTGTTGCTTCATGGCGGGCTGGCCACAGGCCTGTAACTTCAACTTGCCGAGCCTCAGTTGGCCTCATCTACACGGTGGGGATGCCACCACCTGACTTCTAGGGTTGTGAGCAATTAAAGACGAACATACCTGGAACCCTCTAAATTTAGATATGTTTGTAGGTATTTACATGACTTCTGTTTTACTTTTCCAGGTCCTGGTCCATGCCCACCACTAGGCGTAAGAGAATATGCACCAGGTGTTCCACCTGGAAAAGGGGACCTGCCTGTCGACCCTCGAGAGTTTTTACCGGGACACGCACCTTTTACACCTCCAGGCAATTTTGTCCCGAGAGAATACTTTATTCCTGGTGCCCAATTACCACCCCCAACCCACGGCCCCCAGGATTATCCACCTTCTGCTGCAAGAGACTTACCACCTTCCGGCTCTCGAGATGAGCCCACGTCTGACTCGCAGAGCAGTGGCAAGGACTCCTCATCGGCCTTAAAACACAGCCCCTAAGGGACCTCTGACTCTTAGTCCAAGAGAAGGTGAACCGTGCACTCTTGGGTTACAGTAAAGGATTTTATTGGCTTCAAAATCCAAAAGTTTATTTTCAAAGGTTTTAGAACTAAGCTGCCCTGGCAGTGTGCATTTTTGAGCCAAACAATTAAAAAATAGCATTTTCTCCCCTAAATGGAAGCCACCTCGGATTCTAGCACCTTCTTACAACTTTGAAATGTGCAATAAAGAATACCTGTGTTTCATTAATGTAGCATATGTAACTGCTAAATGATTTAGAGCGTCATGAAAAATAACATTTCCTGTGGAAATGCTATAAGAACACGTATTTCCCTTTATCCTATTTTTAGTGTACATTGGTTGAATACAGAGCAACAATGTTTATAAGTTTGATTTTTTAAAATATCTGGTCATGAAGACTGTTACATTAAAATGTTTACTAAAAGATCACGCCACTCTCTCCCCTCTTGCTGAGGTTCTCTGTAGTAATACTTCATAAAAATTTCCTTATTAATATTTCCCACGTGTCTCTTGCTTCATTGGATTCTTTTCTCATGAGACGGGTGCCATGTTGGAAACATGCAAACTCAGGCTCCCAGAACTGGAGATGGTGACTTGGCAGCAGCCCTGTTGCTCACCACACAGGAGGGGCAACCTCAGAATGCGACAACTGACGTCTTCCTTTTCCTTGAAAGCCAGTGGGCCCATCGGTACGGCATTCATGTGCTTGCTTGTGACTCTCACTGCCTAGTTGAGGTGGTTTCCTGAGTATGCGTTTCCATTAGTAGCAGGATTTGTTGGACCTGGTGTTCTGTTGCTTTTCACCATTCTTGCATTCTTTGCTCATCTCCCTTAGCCTTTTCTCTCACTACTAATACACTGTGCACTTTTGCTCTTTTTTAAACTTGGCGTTTTCCTTCTAAATATTAAGGTCTAAGACGTCTTCATATATTTTGGATACAAGTGTGTTGTCAGATACATACTGCAAATAATTTCTTCCAGTTTACGGCTTGGCCTGTCAATTTCTTAACCTTGTCTTTTGAAGAACAAATTTTGATGAACACCATTTTATTAATTTTTACTTTTATGGTTAGTGCTTTTTGTTTCCTGCCTAAGGAATCTTAGGCAATTCCAGTGATTCAAATATCTTCTCATGTTTACTTCTTCAAGTTTTATACTTATGCCTTTCATGTTTTGGTCTGTGTTCCATTTTGAGTTAATTTTTGTGACTGGTGTCAAGTTTCATTTTTTCTTAGAATGCATATCCAGTTGCTCCCATGTCATTTCTTTCCCTTTCAAATTACCTTGGCACCTTGAGTTGAAATCAGTTGACCATGTATGTCAATTTCTGGACTCTAATCTGTTCCATCGATCTCTATTGCTATCCTAGGATAATGCCACACTTTTTTGATTCCTGTAGCTTTATAGTAAGTCTTGCAATCGGACAGTTCTCTTGTAAAATTGTTTTGGCTATTTCAGTTCCTTTGCATTTCCAAATAAATTTTAGAATCAGCTTACCAATTTCTACAAAAAAGCATGCTGAGATTTCGATTGTTATTATGTTGAATCTAGAGATGAGCTTGGGAAGAACTGATATTAACAAATACTAAGGCTCCTAATCCAAGAAGTAAGTTCATCTTTACATTCATTTTGATCTTCTTTAATTTCTCTCAACAGTGTTTTGTAGTTGTCAGTGTACAGGTTTTATGTTAGTATTTTATGTATGCCAGCGTATTACATTGTTTTGATGATGTTGTAAATAGTATCTTTTTTACATTTCATTTACAGTTTTTTGCCGATAGGTAGAAATACAGTTGATTTTTATATATTGACCTTGTGTCTTACTACCTTACTTAATTTACTTATGAGTTCTAGGGTGGATTTTTTGTAGATTTCATAGGATTCTCTGTGCAGATGATCATGCCATCTGTGAATAAACACACCTTTTTTAAAAGTCAAGTTAATTAAAAGCATCATAACATCTAGTAAAATTCACCTTTTCTATGTACAATTCTATGAATTTTCACATTATTTCTTCAGATTTTGTTGTGTTCTCTTCTCTTGCTTCTCCTTCTGGGCTCTAATGACACATATGTTAGACCACTTTATGTAGTTCCACAGGTCACTGAGGCTCTGTTGTTTTTTGTTCTTGTTTTTCAGTCTTTTTATGTCTTTGCTTCAGTTTAGATAGTTCCTGTTGCTGTCTTCAAGTTCACCGATCTTTTCTTTTGTAGTATCTGATCTGCTGTTAAGCCCATCAAGTGAAATTTTCATTTCTGATATTTTACTTTTTAGCTTTAAAAGTTCCACTTAGTCCTATTTTATATCTTGCATTTCTCTTTTCATGAGAATGAAGAGAGAAATGGTCATTTTTTTTTTTTTAATTCTTAAATATAGTATTCATAATAGTGCTGTTAAAGCCCTTCTAAGCTGATTAATTGTGTCATCTCTGTTGCAGTTTCTTGGTCTGTTTTATAGATTGATTTATCTCCTACTTATGGGACACATGTTCCTGATTTTTTTTGCATGTCTAGTAATGTTTTTTTTTTGGATGCTAGCCACTGTTAATGTTACATGGTTGAGTGCCTGGATTTTAGTGACTTCCTTTAAAAAGCATTGAAGTTTGTTTGGCTAGGTTGTTAAGTTACTTGTGGATCAGCTTGATCCTTCCCATTCTTATTTTTAAGATTTGTTACGGAGGTGCCTACAGTGGTCTTTCCTCTCGAGCTAGTGTAGCCCTACTACTAAGGTGTGATTCTTCTGGGATCTACTGAGTACCTTGAGCATTCAGCGAGATCAGTTCACGCTGACTAGCTGGAATACGAATGTCTCCCAGTCCTGTGCTAATGCTGGGAATTGTTCAGCTTCCAGTTTCCTGGCAGTTGTTCTTTTCGTCTATATTTGTTTTCTGCCCATCCTCAAGGAATCTTACCTTACACAGGTGCTGCTTTGAATTCAGCCCAAGATTGAAGGAGACCCCCTTGCGGATTTCTGGAACTCTTTTTCTTTGGTATTCCCATCTTTCTGGTGCCTTTCCCTAGATATTTCAAGTACCTCAGTCTGCACAACTCTTTTCTCCACCGCCTCTGTGAGATTGGGGTACTCTGCTTGGATTCTCCCTGCCCATACTGAGGTCTAGAAAGTGCCTCCAGGTAGAAAGTGGGGTGATCACTGGGCTCACCTCATTTGTTTCCCTTCTCTCAGGGGTCACAGTTGTGTGCTGCCTGTTGTTCTCTATCTGAAAAACAGTTTTTTCCCCTACATTTTGTCCAGTTTTCTAGTTATTTTCAGTGGGAGGACAAATATCATACCAATTACTCTGACTATAGATTTTTTCTTTGTTTGTTTGTTGTTGTTGCAATGTATTCACTGAAGAAACTAGTTTGTTTGGCTTCTACGGGATATCATGGTCTGGATTTTGCTAACTACATCCCCCTGGTGTAACTGAATGTGATTCTCTGGTTCTTTATATTTTCTGGGAGTTGTAGTCTCATTGATAGTCAGATTCAAGTTCCATTTTGTTTGGCAAGAATACTTATTAGGAGATGTTGTGTATTTCCATCAGGAGGCATCTGATATCTAGATGTCCCTCGTTTTTGATGTTACTGGTCATTGGTGATGTTGAGTAGATCTGTTAATATGTTACAGGCTGCAGAATGGTGATAGTCTGATTGTATTCTTCCTGCTTCCTTTCAAGGCTGGGATACTTCTACAAAGAGAAACTTGGAATCAAGTATTCTTTACACTGGGATTTGGTTGGTATAGTTAGGAGAGTATAAATATTTGATTCTTTCTATTTAAATAGTTTTCAAAATAATAAGTTGTCTTCCTGGCGTTATCCAATATGCCCAAAGGGTTTTATGTGTGTGTGTTTCTTCTCATTCTTTTCTAAGAATCATTATGATGTCATGGATTTAAAAATATTTGGTGTGTTTCAATCCACTGTAGTTATTCTTCTTATTGATGCTCGATTTCTTCCATTTTTGGCTAATGGGAGCCTCTTCAGCTTGGCTCCTGGGCGCTTTTGATAGCACCTAGTGGTCATTGATTCCTTCTTTGCTTTCTAGTGTGACAAGATGTTCCTGCCCAGATCTTGAAGGAGCTATTTCTCTAAGAAGCCCTGGTTTCTTTTAATGGGAAATGGTATTTAGAGACTACATTCTGGGTACTAAGATTGCTTATTGCTTTTGAGTTGGCCATGATTTCTACACTTTTTCAGAGAACAAAGCTAGGAAATAAGCAGGGATTTTTTTGTGTGACTATTCATCATGATGCCATATGGATACTCCCAGTCAAAATTCAGGATGCTAGAGGGATTTTACTTAACCTCGTCTCTCTTACATTTGTGTTTTCTTTCTCCAGCGTTGGAAATCCCAGTTTTCAATGACATCAACATAAGTATTTATTTACCTTATTTTACAATATTCACAGAACACTGTTAAAAATACCAATATCAACACTATTGCCAACAGTATGTTATTGAAAATATTTTTGTCCTTAAGCTTTATCCCATTAGGGTATGCTTGAAATAATTCCTTTCTGTTGTCCTGCCACCAACTTGATACACAGCAGGTTTATTGTTTCATTTTTGCTTTCAGTTTTTAGGGATTGCTTTTACAGATTTTTTTGCTTTATAATTATCTAACACATTTACAAGAGCCAAAATCAATTTGTAAAACCTGGTCTATTCAGAGAAGTCTAGCTTTTGTCCTAGTTCCGTCCAATCTGTTGTTATCGTCCTCTACAGGTAATTTTTAAAATTAATTTTATTATCTATCCTATCATTAAAGAATAAGCAAATTATTTCCACATCCTGCCAAGATGGATTTGTAAGTATTAGCTTTACCTTCCTTACTGAAACAACTAAAAAGAAAAAAACACAAAGTAAATGAAGCAACAGTTTTCAAGACACTGGACATCAGTTAACACAAAGGACAGTAATTCTAGAAAGATGGGGAACTGATGCCACGAGCCCTAAAGTTAAATCCCAGCTTACTGCATTGAGAGGGTTCTCAGGTTGTGGCACAGAAAGGAGGAACCCTGAGTTGAGGAGGTGGAGCTGAGAGTCCAGGCAAGGCAAGGCAGCTAGAGTTCCAGGGTCGGGTACCAAGAGGGGAGAGCCACACAGAGAGCTGGCAATCTGTGAAAGGTCCCCTTTGACTGTTCTGCAGAGTTTTGATTACCACATGAGTGTGACCAAACTACCCAAGGTCAGAGAAACCCTTTACGTGATTAGAGGGAAGAGCCCCAGACACAGGGCCAAGAATAATATGTTGTAATTCTAGGGGAATTGGGTAGAGTACTCAGAAGGGTCTCACCTCAGACTAAATGTTGCTCCTGTCTTGGCTAACAAATCTTAACAGCAAGACCCAAAAGAATCAAACTGTTTCCCAGTAATTTGCCTAACTCCTGGAACAAAGCTAAAGAATGTTTGTTGTATTGTTCAGGGTTCCCTAGAGAAACAGAACCAATAGGTCATAGATAGGAAGACGTTTATTAGAAGGAGTTGACATAACACAAATGGAGGTTGGGAAGTCCCACAATCTGCTATGTCCAAGCTAGAGACCCAGGAAAGCTGGTGGTGTAATTCAGGTAGAGTCCCAAGGCCTGAGAACCAGGGGAACTGATGACATAGATTCTAGTCTGGGTCTGAAGGCCTGAGAACCAGGAGTACCAAAGGTAGAACGTCAACATCCCGGATCAAGCAATCAGGCAGGAAGGGGTGAATCCCTCAAGAGATTGGATGATGCCCACCCACATTGGGGAAGGCAGTCTACTTTACTGAGTCCATTGATTCAAATGCTAATCCCATCTTGTACACTCTCACAGCCACACTCAAAGGTAGGGTTTAATCTGGGTACCCTATGATCTGTCAAGTTGACACGTAACAGTCACATTTGTTTAGAGCATATGGCATCCAATCCAAGATGACCAGGCATAGGCATGAAAATATGACCCATGATAAGGAAGAAAATCAGCTCATCAAAACCAACCAAAAACTACCGGAGATGTTAGAATTAGGCAAGGATATTAAAAGTTATTATTACTATATTTCAGATTTTAAAAAAGTTAAGTAGACACATGAAAGATATTTAAAAAAAAAGACCCAAATCAAACTTTAAGATATGAAAATTACAGTGCTAGAGATGATAGATATAGTGGGTGGGATTAATGCTAGACTAGACACAGTAGACGAAAAGTTTAGTGAACTTGAAGACATAGCAATAGAAGCTGTCTAAAATAAAACACATAGGGAAAAAGACTCAAGAAAAATGAACACGTCATCAGTGAGCTGTGGTACACTTTCAAGCACCCTAATAAGTGTGTAACTGGAATTCCTGGAGGAGAGGATAGAAGAGGTATTCACAAAAATATTTGAAGAAATAACAAGTAGAGTTTTCCCAAAATTTATGAAAACTGTAGACCCATAGATTCAAGAAATTCAATGAAACCCAAGCATAGAAGCATGAGAAAGACTACCAATGCATTTCATAATCATATTGCTCAAAATAAGTGATAAAGAGCAATCTTAAAAGCAGTCAGAAAAAAGACGCTTTACGTAGAAACTAAGATAATGTTGACATCAGATTCCTTGTCAGAAACAAGGTATAGGAGAATACAGTAGGAGAATATCTTTTAATATACTTGAAGAAGAATACTGTTGACCTATGATATCATAGCCAGCAAAGTATTTTTCCAAAACAAAGATTAAATGAAGATGTTCTTCCAACATGCAAGAGCTGAACAAATTTACTAGTACACCTGCACTATAAGAAACGATAAAGGAGGACCTTTAGGCATAAGGCAAATGACAACAGACGGAAATAAGGGAGTTACACAAAGGAGTAAAGAATGCCAGATATGGTAATCATAGGGGTAAATATATAAAAACCATTATCTTATTACTTAAATATCTTTAAAAGTTAACTTGCTGTTTAAAGAAAAATATTATCAATGTAGTATGGGGTTTATAGAAAATCTGTACATAAGAATTGATTCTGGTTATAAACAACCAACAATTGCTTAGAAAATGAAATATTATAACATTTATAATGGTATCGCAAAATATCAAGTACCTAGTAATAAATCCAACGAAAGAAGTCTAAGATCTTTGTGAAGAAAGTAAGACTTTGACAAGAGACATTAAGAAATCCTTAATAAATGGAGAGCCATATTCCAGTTCATGGATTGGGAAAAGCAGTTTGTAAAGATGTGACTATTTAAAATTGATCTGAATTTCACAGCAATTCCAACAGGTATTTCTGGTTTTTTTAAAGAACTTGACAGTTGTTTTTATAATTCACATAGAAATGCCGAGGGCCAAAAGTGATTAAGACTCTTGAAGAATAATGTCAAGGTGGGAGAATTTGCTTTACCAAATGTCAAGACTTTTATAAAGCTATGGTAATTAAGACACAGTGGTAGTGGTGCAAAGATGATAAACAGTCCGGTGAGACAGAATGGAGAGCCCAGAAACAGACCTACACTTGCTTCATGATTGAGGTGGCACTGCAGGTCAATGGGGGAAATGACAGTCTTTGAAATAAGTCATGCTGGGCCAATTGAGTGTCCATGTGGACTAGAATGAGATTGGGCTCCTACCACACACCAGACAAAAATTAATTCTAGGTGGATTATAGAATTAAATGTGGATGGCAGAACAATACAGCTCTTACAGGATAAAATACATTCATGACCTTGGAGTGGGGGAAAGATTTCTTGACTAGGACACAGAAAGCACTGATTATAAAGGAATTCCGAGATTTAAAAATTTGAATATATTAACATTAAGAATTTTTCATAATTGGAAGACGCCATTAACAGAGAAAAGGCATTCTAAACATGCATAACTCATCTTTGGTGTTACAAGTCAAAACTAATTGTTACCTCTTAGGAGAGAGAGTGATTGGGTGTTTGGGGGCACCAGGGTGTCTAGTCATCACCCTTAAAGGAATTCTTTTTCTCTTTTTCTTTTTGGTGAGGAAGATTGGCCCTGTGCTAATAACTGCTGCCAATCTTCCTCTTTTTGCTTGAGGAAGACTGGCCCTGAGCGAACATCTTGCCAATCTTCCTCTATTTTGGATGTGGGATGCCGCCACAGCATGGCTTGACGAGTGCTGTGTAGGTCCAGGCCAGGGATCCAAACCCACAAACTCCAGCCACTGAAGTGAAGCGTGCAAACTTAACCACTATGCCACTGAGCTGGCCTCAGCCTCATGGAATTTTAAGAATAAAAAGACATATACAAAGAAGAAGTCAGAAGCAAATGCGAAGGTAAGGTATAAACAGCAAAGCATTTTCAGTAAATCTCTCAGAGATGTGTAGGGAGGAACGACTACCTCTTCTCAGGGATTTTGCCTCACTGTAGAATGAACTAAATGAGTCATCATAGATACATGAGGCCCCCTCACCCCCTGCCCCAAATGTCCCAAATGAGAAGCAACATTATACAATTCACCAGAGGGGGGAAATGTAGACACAATTATTTACCCTTTACACTAACTGTAATATAGGGATCAATGCACTGCCCGGCATCTTTCAGACCGATTTTCTCAATTCTGATAGTGAGTAACGTCATTCCTGGTTCTGATGGCAACCTTGGTAATAAAGTACCTGGCAACAGAGAAATTGCAATAAAAATGAGCTCCACCAATAATTTCAGAGTAAATATTTTAACAACACAGAGAAGATACAGCTTTGCTCTTAAGTGACTTAGTAACTAGCCAGGGATTATTTCAGTTTCCAAAACTCCCAAACACTTTACGTTATTCTTTTCACAGAAATATTTAATTAGACACAAGATACATCTGTACTTCCATACCTTATAGTCAACACTAAAGCATGAATTACTAATTCAAGTTTGTTAAAAATTCAACTTACTGCAGGAAGCCCAATTAATTACCACGTAATTTATAATGTATGTGATATACTCATATAATATATATAACTTCACATATACTCATATATATTTAAAATATAAAATATACTTCATACCTCAATATGAAGTGGTGGAAAAGACAGAAAAAGCTTTTTAAACACCTGTTATATTATCCTAAAGTTTGAGAAATTTAATACCAGAATGAATCAACAAATCTCTTAGTTACTACTGATAGAGGAAATAAATCACAATGCAGTATTTATATATTTAATTGAATAATTATACAATCTAATTTCCCACTCCTTTATTCATCCTATTCTGTATGATCTATTCTCTCAGAAATTAGTCCTACTGAGAATGCCACAGAAAACCACAAAAGCAACTGTATCTTTGAAATTTTTTCCATCTATCAAATTTTTTAACACTGAAAAACCACCCAGAACAACACAAGAGCATTCCCCAAGGAGAAAAAGACATGAAGGAAGAAATCAGCTGCACATTTGTTCATTTCTGTCAAATCGTCTATGGAGAACAGATGCGAACAAAAGTTGATTGTAATCTATTATGTTTATAGTACCTCAAACTACAGAACCTAACATTTATAAAGGACTTTGATTGACATTCTTCAAGTTTCTATCCAACAATATGTTATCATACTTTTAATAACGAAGTCTTTGAAGTACATGAATCAACAACTTATTACATTCAAAATGTAATTAACTGATCACAAAGAGGATTGAGGGAATTTTGTGGGTGATGGAAATGTTCTCATATTGGATCAATCAAATTGATAGACATACAACACTATAGATTTATCAAAAGTCATTTTGAAAGGTAAGTGTAAGTTTTACACTTACAATGAGTGAATTTTATGAGAGGAAAATTACTACACAAATCCAAGAATCTTAACGGTGATACTTGCCAAAGATAAGTTTTGGCTAATGAAAAGTTAGAAGTAGAAAAAGTAGAAAACCAAAATGGAACACTCAAAGCAGTATTCGATGCCATTTCAAGAGTAAGATTATACATCAGTGACAGCAGAACATGGCAAAGTGAGCTGTTCCCTTTACCCCTCCCCCTCCAAAGTACAACTAAATGGACATTTATTGATTCATGGAAGACACGCACAGAGTACCACAGGACGCCAGAGAGACCCACACAGCTATACATCTGAAGGTGGATGGACTACCCCCAGGGAGGTGGGAGAGATAGGTGGGCACTCGCTGGCCCTCCAGCAACCCTGTACATGTGTGCAACTGCTCTCTCTCCCGGATGGAGCACCCGTAGCACCGCTATGGCCTTGAGGGTGGGAGCATGCCTCAGCAGGACTGCAAAACAGGTGATGGCTGCCCTGAGCCCCCACATGATCACTTTCCCATCCAGTGGGAAAGCCCAGAGTGCCGCCACAGTCCCAGGGAGTGGCCCAGGCTCAGACCAGTGGGGAGGCCCAGCCCACCAAACACAATGGCCACTGAGACCTAGGAGGAGGCAGTGGTAAATTGACGCGCGTGGGCAAACGACTTCCTGGCTGCCGAGGACACCCATAGTGCTGCTGTGGCCCCTACCGTGGGAGCATGCCTCAGCAGGACTGTGGGAGCAGGCGGTGGCAACCCTGAGCCCTCGTGTGATCACCTTCCCATTAGGTGGGAGAGCCCACAGGGCTGCTGCAGTCCCAACGAGCAGCCTAGGCTCAGACAGGCACAGCTGGCAGGGATCATGGTGGGCTCACAAGACACAGCTCCTGACCCCTCCACTGGCAGCAGGTAGAATCTGTGACCAGATACTATCACTATGGAAAGGCACAAATCCACCCCATCAAATAGTATGAAGAGATATATTAATACTGCAGGCCAGAAGGAAAAAGACAAACACTCAGAAATCAATCCTGAAGGCACAGAAATCTACAATCTAAATGACAGAGAATTCAAAATAGCTATCATAAAAAACCCTCAATGAGTTACAAGAAAATTCAGAAAGACAGTTCAATGAAATCAGGAATAAAATTAATTAATGGAGAGACTTCTTCACAAAAGAGGTTGAAACTGTAAAGAAAAACCAATCAGAAATGTTGGCAGTGAAAAATACAATGAATGAGATAAAGAAAAATCTGGAGTCCTTAAACAACAGAGCTGATATTATAGAGGACAGAATTAGCAATTGAGAGGACAGAAATAGAGAAATGCTTCAGATGGAGGAGGAGAGAGAACTAAGACTAAAAAAAATGAAGAAATTCTCTGAGAATTATCCGACTCAACTAGGAAATGCAACAGAAGGGTCAGAGGTATTCCAGAGGGAGAAGAGAGGGAGAAAGGAACAGAGAGCTTGTTCAAAGAAATAACAGCTGAGAATTTCCCAAACCTGGGGAAGGAGCTAGAATTACACGTAAAAGAAGCTAATAGACCTCCTAATTAAATCAGTGTAAAAAGACCTCCTCCAAGGCATATATTAGTAAAACTGGCAAAAGTAAATGACAAGGACAAATACTAAGGGCAGCAAGGCAGAAGAAAATCACCTACAAAGGAACCACTATTAGGCTCCAGCAGATTTCTCAGCAGAAACCTTACAGGCTAGGAGAGAGTGGAATGACATATTCAAAATTCTGAAGGACAAAAAACTTCAGCCAAGAATACTCTATCTTAGTCCTTCTATCCCCATTGTTAAGTGACGCATGACTGCATGTCAGACCTTGTCACCAAGTCTTTGTATGCTCTTTTCTGCCCTTTTTATCCTTTCGTTTCCGTGCTTTCGCCTGATATTTTCTATATGGTCCATTAATCCTCTCTTCTGCTATGTTCCATTGGCTGTTAAGCCCAGCTATTGAGTTAATTTCAAATATTGAAGTTTTCAAAAGGAAAAACAGAACTTCTCTAAATCTATCTTGTCTTGAACATAAATAAGCGTTCAACACAGTTATTCTCTGTTATATTTTAAAAAGTCTTTTCAAAAACACCATTGGTAATTGACAATCTGAATGAAGTCACCATCTTGCTATGTTCTAACTATCTGTAATCTTTTGTTGTACAAATGGGTAAAAGGAAACCTTGGAGGGTAAGGTTAGAAGAGCAACTTCCAAAGTATTATGCAGTAAAACAAAGCCTGTTAAAAACTTCATAAAATGTACAGTTTCCACATCTGAGGGTTTGATAATGTCAATTTTAATGAACATGTAAGTATACATTAGAGCTAACTGGCTTTTTCAAAGAAGACTGATAGATAAGGATTTTTCTCAATCATCTGTTTAGGTTGAAAAGGACCTTTCTTTTTCTTCCTCCTCTAAAATATCATGTCAAAAACCAACCACAAAATATATAAAGAACTCCTACAATCCAACAACAGAAAGATAAATCACCCAATTCAAAAAAGGGCAAAGGGCTTGAAAAGATATTTCTTCAAAGAAATACAGATAGCCAATGAGCACATGAAAAGTTGCTCAATATCACCAGCCATTAGAGAAATGCAAATCAAAACCACAATGAGATGCCACTTTACATCCATCAGGACAGCTATTATCAATTAAAAGAAAAAAAGCAAGTGTTGGTGAGGATGTGGAGAAATTTAAATACTCATGCATTGCTGGTGGGAACGTAAAATAATGCAGCTGCTGGGAAAACAGTCTGATGGTTCCCCAAAAGGTTAAACAAAGAATTACCACATGATCCAGCAATTCCACTCCTAGATATACACCCAAAACAAGCGAAAGCAGGGAAACACATACTTGTACACTCATGTTCACAGCAGCATTATTCACAACAGTCAAAAATTGGAAACAACCCAAATGTCTATCAACAGATGAATGGACGAACAAAATGTGTAATATATAAACAAAAGAATATTATTCAGCTTAAAAAGGAAGGAGATTCTGATCATGCTATAACATAGATGAATTCTCAAAACATGCTAAACGAAATAAGCAAGACATAAAAGGACAAATACTGTATGATTCCACTTAGATGAGGCTCCTAGAACAGGCAAATTCCTTGAGACAGAAAGTAGACTAGAGGTTACCAGGGGGCTGGGGGTGGGGGTTGTGGGGACTTACTGTTTAAAGGATACGGAGTTTCTGTTTGGGATGATGAAATAGTTCTGGAACTGGATAGTGGTGATGGGTGCACAAAATTCTGAACATACCTAATGTCACTAAAGTGTGCACTTACAAATAAATGGTAAATTTTATGTTACGCATACTTTACCACCACAACAAAAAACTTTTAAAGCAATACCATGTACAGTAACCATCCAAAACATGAAACACTTAGGGATAAATTTAACAAAATATATACAATAAAAACTACAAAACATTTCAGAAAGAAATAAAAGACCTAAATAAATGGTAAATGATGGACAGACATATCATTTCCAGTTTGGAGACATCAATTTGTTAAGATGCCAACTCTTTCAGAATTCATCCACAGGTTCAAAATCCTAGCAAGATTTTCTTGAAGCAACAAATTGATTTAAAAATGTATACGGAAAGTCAAAGAACATAGAGAAGCTAAAAACAACTTTGGAAAAAGACGAATTTGTATGACTTTCATGGTATGATTCCAAAACTTGCTATAAAACTACAGTAATCACGATATGTGGTATTGGTATATGATGGAAATATACATCTATACAATATAGATGTAGAGAAATAGAGGTAGAGAAATATACTCTATACAATAGAGTCCATATCTATGATCAATTGATTTTCAACAAAGTTAAAAATGTAACTCAACAGGAGAAGAAGGGTAGTCTGTTCAATAAATGGTGCTCAAAAAATCATATGGAAAATAATGAACCTTGACTCTGACCTCATACTACACAAAAAAATTAGCTGAAAATCTATCATGGACCTAAACCAAATTATAACACTTCTAGGGGGGAAAAAAAGAGAATCTTCATTATCTTGAGGTAGGCAAAGATTCCTTAGACAAAAAGTACTAACTATAAAAGAAAAATGAATAAACTGTACTTCATCAAAATTAGAAATTTTTGTTTCTTTGAAAGATAGTGTTAGGAAACCAAAAAGGTAAGCCGTGGACTGGAAGAAAATATTCACAATCCATATATCTGACAAAGGACTTGTATCCAGATTATATTAAAAACTTTCAAATCAGTAAGAAGGCAACCCTCCAAAAAAACAGACCAAACATTTGAACAGACACTTCACAAAAGAAGATACGGGGGGGCCGGCCTGGTGGCTTAGCTGTGAAGTTTACACACTCCACTTTGGCGGCCCACGGTCACCGGTTTGGATCCCAGGCGCAGACCTACGCACCACTTATCAAGCCATGCCATGGCAGGCATCCCACATATAGAGTAGAGGAAGATGGGCACAGACGTTAGCTCAGGGCCAATCTTCCCCAGCAAAAAAGAGGAGGATTGGCAGTGGATGTTAGCTCAGGGCTAATCTTCCTCAAAAAAAGAAGATACAGGAATAGCCAACAGGCATATTAAAAGATGCTCAATGTCATTAGTCATTAGGGAAACACAAATTAAAACCACAGTGAGACACCACTACACACCTACTAGAATGGCTATAATTCAAGACTAACAATATCAAATGTTGATGAAGATGTAGAGAAATTGAACTTTCACACATCACCAGTGGGAATATCAATGGTACAGTCACTCCAGAAAACACCCAGGCAGTTTCTTAAGAAGTTAAACATATACTTTCCAGCAATTCTACTCTTAGCTAGCTACCCACGAAAAATGAAAATATATGTGCACACAAAGATTTGTACATGAATGTTGACTGTAGCATTCATAGTAGCCAAAAAGTGCAATAACCCAAATGTTCATCATGAAATGTATGTATAAAAATGGACTACTCCTCAGCAGTAATAAGGAATAAACTACTGATACAATATGGATGAATCTCAAAAACATTACGCTGAGCAAGAAAAGCCAGACAACAAAAGGAGTACGTACTGTAAGATTTCATTTATATGAAATTCTAGAAGAGGTAAAATTAATCTATAGTGACAGAAAGTAGATCAGCGGTTACCTGGGGCCAGGAATACTGCGGGGAATGAAGGACTTTCTGGGGTGATGGAAATGTTCGCTATCTTATCCTGGTGGTTACATGGATGTATATATTTGTTAAAATGCATCCAAGTGCACACGTAAAATAAGTGCTTTATTACATGTAAATTACACTTCAAAAAGGTGATTTTTAAAAAAATAGCAATGCAGAACTTTCCAACCAGGGTGGCAAAGGGTTTCTGAAATACTGATCCTCTCTCCTCAGTCTCTCTTGGGCAGGGGGTGGCGGAATCATAGTGGGGGGGTCTCCTGGCCCTGCAGCCTCCTGTCTACCTCAGTGTACCCCACACACATTGTCATTTTATGGGTGCTATAATACAGAAGTTGGAAAGCAATGACATAAGAATGTTTTAAAGTAGATCCCCAATCCTGTTCAAACTTTGAATAAAAATTCTGTACCTTAAGCACGCTTATCAGTTTCTCTCTTGGGGCCTTCTCTCTCTTGAGAAAGTTGTATAAGTAGATATGAGCATTTGGATTCGATGGGAACTTCTCATCATAGGCATAATTGGTGAGAACCTCTCAGGCTCCATCTTGATCCCCATAGAATTCCAGCATCTATATAAAATGAGTCATAATATCTTAGCTAAACTCTGTAAGACAGCTACATGAAAGATAATGCACAACTTAACTTTATTGATGGGTACAAAAAATTATAAAAGTGATAAGTAGTACATACTGTTTAGGGAACCAGAGTAATGACAGCTTTTGCTTTCACCAGCACAGGTTACAACCTCTATAGAACAGAGAAGATCACCTGCAACCCCTACGGTTTCCCATGATTTCTTTAGCATATTTTGTTACTGAAAAATGCAGCAACTTCAACCTAAGAACTGTTTCTATAAAAAATAAAGTCCTCAGAAAACTCTCTGACCCCGACCCCCGAACAGCCTAGTATCTGCAAGCAGCTTTCTTCCAGCGGACGCCCCCAGAACATCGCCACACACCAAGGGCAGGAGGAAGCGCACACCAGAGGAGCGACGGTGGAAACAGGCGACCAGAGCCCTACCTAAGCCCCCCGCAATTACACCTAAGCCCCGAGGGAAGCTCCAGAGTTACACACGGGAGGCGGCGGGGAAAACCCCTACCCGCCATTAGCGGAGAGGCCCCTCCCAGCATCCACAACGCCGGGAGGCTCCCAGAGCGAATCCCAGCTGCCGCCACCGGCCCCACTGACCCGGCCTTGGCCTGGGCGGGGCTCGGGGCTACCGGAGATCTCCTGGGAGAGGACTGAGGAAGGGTGGAGCTCCAGCAGCGGGCTCTGCGGCCCGGGGGGTAAACTCCAGAGTTCCGTCCAGGCAGCAGGCAAAGTCTCTACCTGCCATTAGTGGAGAGGCGCCGCCCAGCATCCACAACGCTGGGAGGGTCCCGAAGAGGAGAATCCCAGGCAGGGCAGTAGCCGGCCAGCTGCCACTGAACTCAAGGTCTCTGGCTATCCCCCAGACAGGGCAAGGAGCTCCCTGAGATCCTAGGGGAGAGGACTGGGGCTGGGTGTAGTTCCAGCGACCCGGCTCCGTGGCCCAGGGGGAAACTCTACAGTCTCACAGCAGCCTCAGCAATAGCCTCTGCACAGCACTAGTAGAGAGCACCCACCCGGCAACCACAAGGCTGGAAGACCCTGGGACAAAAGTAGCATAGCTAGGTGAGCTAACCACAGACTGCAGGAGATGCCCATAGCTCTGCTGTGACCCATAGTGGACAATGAGATTTTTGTGGGCGCCGACAGTGAGAGAGCTGCAAATATAAGTGATCCTGCCCCTGGCCGCTGGGAAAGCCCATAACACCGCTGCAGACCCCAAGGAGGGAGCACGTCTAGGTGGTCTGCAACAGTAGGCACCAGCAGCCTGAAGCCCCCTTGTGACAGCCCTCACAGCTGAAGAGGGAACCCACAGGACCACTGTGACTACGAAGAGGGGCCCAGGCCCAGTTAGCAACAGCTGATAGGGTTCCTGGTTGGTGCAGTATAAACAGATGACCCCCCACCACACCAGTAGAAACAAGTGGAAGCAGTAACTAAACTCTATCTCTATGCGGAGGCACAAATCTACACCATCAAGCAATATGAGAAAATATATTAAATCTCCAGAACAGAAGGAAAATGACAAATACACACAAAACAATCCCAAAGACAATGAAATATATAACCTAAATGATGATGACTTCAAAACAGCCATCATTAAAAAACTCAATGAGTTAAAAGAGAATTCAGATAGACAACTCAACGAGTTCAGGAGCTATGTCACAAAAGAGTTCAATACTATAAAGAAGAACCAAACAGAAATACTGGAAATGAAGAAGACAATAGAGATTAAGAAGAATCTAGATGCACTGAACAGTAGGGCCGATAATACGGAGGAAAGAATTAGCAATTTGGAAGATAGGAATATAGAAATGCTGCAGGCAGAGGAGGAGAGAGAACGAAGACTAAAAAGAAGTGAAGAAACTCTCCGAGAATTATCTGACACAATTAGGAGATGCAACGTAAGGATTATAGGTATACCAGACGGAGAAGAGAGAGAGAAGGGGACAGAAAGCCTATTCAAAGAAATAATGGCTGAGAACTTCCCAAACCTGGGGAGAGAGATGGAACTTCATGTGACAGAAGCCAATAGATCTCCAAACTTTATCAATGCAAGAAGACCAACCCTGAGGCATATAGTAGTGAAGCTAGCAAAAGTCAACGACAAGGAGAGAATACTAAAGGCAGCCAGGCAGAAGAAATTAACCTACAAAGGAACCCCCATCAGGCTATCAGCAGATTTCTCAGCAGAAACTTTACAGGCTAGAAGAGAGTGGAATGATATATTCAAAAATCTGAAGGACAAAAACCTGCAGCCGAGAATTCTCTACCCAGCGAAAATATCCTTCAAATACGATGGAGAAATAAAAACTTTGCCAGATAAACAAAAATTAAGGGAATTCCTTGCCACAAAATCTCCTCTTCAAGAAATGCTCAGGAAAACCCTAATTCCTGGAAAATCAAAAAAAGGAAAGGTGCTACAAAACCAAGAGCAGAGGAGATAAGTAGAAGGACAGCAACAGAGAGTAGCAGCTCTCCATCAGAACAGATTAAACCATGGGACGAGAAACAAAGGAAATTGAAGAAAAGCGGAAAACAAGACATAAAATGGTAGTGGTAGGCCCCCACATCTCAATAATCACTCTAAATGTAAATAGATTGAACTCTCCAATCAAAAGACACAGAGTGGCAGGATGGATCAAAGAACAAGATCCAACAATATGCTGCCTCCAGGAAACACACCTCAGCCCCAAAGACAAACACAGACTCAGAGTGAAGGGATGGAAGACAATACTCCAAGCTAATAATGAACAAAAGAAAGCAGGTGTCGCTATACTAATATCAGACAAAGTAGACTTCAAAGTAAAACAGGTAAAGAAAGACAAAGAGGGACAGTATATAATGATAAAAGGGACTCTCCACCAAGAAGACATAACACTTATAAATATATACGCACCCAACACAGGAGCACCAAAATTTGTAAAGCAACTCTTAACATGGTATTATACTGTATACAAGGATGCAAACATTTTAAAGGCTTCTACACATTATTAAGCTGCCTTTCACAATGGCTGTTAAGAAGTCCTAATTCTACAAACAGTCAAATCTTTGGGTTTTGATAGAACAGATTTATAAATTGAAGTTTTCCCACTGAGACAATATACATGTTGTCTTGTTCATTTATGTCTTTACCAACAAGGATTACACTGAATTATTCGCCAAGGTTAGCTTAGATTATAAGTATTAATTTGTGTTCATATTATTAACTGAAAAAAAAAGAGGGGCCAGTGATTATAAGACATCCCTTGTGTTTCTGAGACAACATATAAGTTAATTTAATTTACTCACAACAAGGATGGTTCTCCAGAAGAAAATGGCAAATGAAACAATTCCTAAGGAGGCAGTGATAAGCACAGGCTTCCGTGACAGGCCACGAAAATCGGGTCCAGGCTGAACATCATCAGGCAATGTAGCAAGTAGCTGAAACAGAAATGTTTGAAATAATGGGAACCCATAAAGAAACTTACAATAAAGCAGTCACAAAGAATCATCCACAGAAATTCCAAGTCAACCTCCATCAGGTAACTGCTCCCTCAAAAACCTTCAATAGCTCCCACTGCTTCAATAAAGATAGGATACTGGCAGCCTCGTATTTCTTGTGCAGCTTGAGGTCTTTT